ACTGTGCCACCCAGGCGCCCCAAACAGCCTATATTTTTAAAGCTAAGAATGAAATGGTTCTTTACACATTTTTCTTAAATTTTTGATATTAAAGAGTCACCTGTCTGTCTCACTCAGAACAGCATGCAACTCTTGATCGGGGTTGTGAGTTTGAGTCCCACGTTGGGTGTACAGATTACTTAAAAACAACATTAAAAAATATAATATTAAAAATGAAAAAAACCCAGTCAAAGTAGAGTTTCCATTTAGTAACATGTAAATTACTATGCATGTATGTTTCAGGAAAATAACTGTGGTATTTACAAATACTATGTTAGATAACTTCCCCTTGCTGTTGTCTTTAAAATGAATGTGAACGTGTGTATCTTTTCTCTTTAGGACTTAAACACTGTGACAGCTAAATTTAACCCTAAGTTTGGAAATATATTGTTATTTTTCCTTCTTAGCTCTTTGGCATCTGTGAACCTCTTCTAAGAGGAGGCAGTCAAATTTTAGGCGTCTAAAGAAAAATGAAGAAATGTATGTACAAATTAGGTTTTGCAGAAGTAAAATGAGCTATTATCATATATGCAAATCATAAGGAGAGAAATGTTTTAAGGGAAAAAGAGAAAAGTTTTTGTGGTTTTTCTTTGAAATACACGTCTCGGAATATGTAGTATCTAGAACCTGCTTATTGTTTTTTGCATGACCTGTAAACAGCTTATCACAGCCTCTTAATTTACAATCCACCTTACCTGTTTCTAATCCACTATCTTTACTAAACTTTGTTGGGTTGCTGTTTTATATCACTGCATTTTTATGCAAGAGATAAAAAAAAAAGGTATAAAGCATTTTTGAGTATCATTTTCAGAATATACCTTTGGTTCTTTTGGTGCTTAGTGGCTATGTTATAAATCGAATCATGCATTAAAGTACAGCAGCATGTTTTCACAGAAGTAGGAGAAACTGATATAAAGACAATTTCAAAGAGAGTTCTGCCTGCTACATCTTTCCTCTAGCATGTAGTTGATACGAAGTTTTCTTGTGATCTCACAGTGAGAGTGGTAGTTTTTTTATTGTTCACATAACTCTGTTTTGAGCAGTGGAACCTTTATAAATAAGAGCTATTTTTAAGAAGTCTTTGCAAAAATGTATAATATTTTCTCTCTTTTCCTTCTGCCCCTACAGAAATTCATGATGAAGGTAAGACATTGGATCATCTGGTCTATATGTAATACTTGGTGCGTTTTAAATTTGGTTACATGGATTTGTTTTTTAATTCGTGGCACCTTTCTTCGCATTTTCAAGTTTTTAAAAATTAAATCAAACTTTGGAACTTGTAAATTTAAATAAATCACACATTTAAATTTGACGTCTTAATGAACAATGTTTGACATTTGGGGTCATATTGTACGACATTAAGTTTTATTTAGCCGATGTTAGGAATTTCTCCTATCAAAACTTATTTTTTCCACAGCTTTCCATTTAGAATTTTCACTCTGGGGATCACATTGGCTGTTTTGCTTTTAAAGCTGTCTTGCGTGAATACAATATGAAATTTATACTCTGGGAAATTGGAAGAGGCACCATGAAGCTGCTACAGGAGAAGTGAAAATAATTTAACCCCTTTTCATTTCTTAACCAAATTACAAAAGTGGAAAGATCTTAAAAGACAAGTTGAAAGGGGAGAGAAAAATACATGACATGTTATTGAAGGAAATATGAGGAAGAAGAGCAGAATGTCATTCTTTCGAGATACAAACTAGAAGTTTTTTGTGTCCTTTTTATGTACCTACTATTTTTTCTCCTATAACATTCATGCAATTTAATTTTTATTTGAAAAGCCAAGAAACAATGTGTAGAG